TTCTCTCAAGTTGCCCTTGAAATATTTATCAAAATTATCTGCCCTTGAAATACATTTTTAGATAACAAAAATGTTAGTCGAAAGTTACAGAAAATTGGAAATTGATCATTTTCGAAAAAATAAGATATTTTTAAGATTTTAATATTTGTAAAATTTTCAATTTCATATTTTCTATAAGGTTTTTAAGTTAATTTTTTGTCATATTTGGTCGTTATTAAACTTAAAAATTCAATTACATATGTATGTTTGAAAAAACTAAACTCAAAAAATTAAAAATTTATAAAACTACTGGGGTTATTCCAAAAATGGTAACCATTACGATCACAGGCTCTCAAACATTTTAGCTATTAAATTTATATACATACAATCTCACAATTCCTTGGCACAATGAAATCGAAATTCTAACCAAAAAAATGTCTATAAATTATGTTTTTCGTAGGAAATGACAAAAATTAAGTACATAATTACATATATTTTATAAAAATTATTTAAAAAAAAACTGCAAGATTTTATTGTTAGACAATATGTTAAATAAATTAGTTTTCAAAATTGTATAGCTAAAATTTGTATGTTTTTAAAAACACTACCCAAACCCTAATTAGACAAAGTTATATAGTTACATGTGTATATAGATATTATTTTAACCTCCGCTACCAAAAAAAAACCCCCTCCCCCTCCCCCGTCAACACCTAGTTAACCCTCCTTTTGTTCCGCCCAACTCGCTTCAAAGCATCCACATAGAGACATTTAAGCCAGTTTTTGCCACATTTTCGAATATGTTTCATCAATTTCCAGACCAAATCTGAAATATCAATACTCGGCGTTGGATAGTGGCAATGGTGTTGTGGAGCGTAGTCCACGCGAACGTGCTCAACGAGAGCGCGCCTTCACTGCGCTACAGGATTGGGTACAAAATTCGAATGGACGCTACGAGATAATCGCACATTTGGATGAGATTGGCTCACGGCATGGCAAGAATTGGTTTCTCGTAACCGATGCGACGGTGAGTTTCACTGGGTTCATGTAAAGCTTTTTTTCATATTTCTCTCTCTCTCTCTCTCTCTCTCTCTCTCCTTCCACAGGTGCGCACGGATCGTCTGCTGACGTTGCTGCCACTCCCACCGGACTGCGTCGCGTTCGAGGACTTGCCTGCAAACGAGAATCCGAAGCCAATGCTAATGGAGTTGCTCGGCTCACTGCATCATCCATATATTTATCCGATTTTGGATTTGGGTTTTCTGCAGTTGGGCTCAAGCAATTTTGCCTGTCTGGTGACGCCATTCAATTCGCGCGGCAGCTTAAAGGATTTAATTTATAGGGTAAACCACAAAGCAATTCCATTTACTGCATTTTGTTTACATTGTAGCTGAATGGCAGTTGTTTGCGTGTGTACACACTTACCTACATACGCATATGTATATACATGCATACATACATATGTACATACATATGTACGTGTGCACATATGTCGCTATGTACGCAACTGCATGCAAATGCCATTGGCCTCAAGTGTACTTTCGTTTATTTTTGTCCGCTTTAGAGCAATTATTTTCATTGTATACCTTTTTCACTGTTTTCTTTTTGCTTTCATTTTTTCTCAAATCTACTTCAATTGCATACATCTCCAGGCGCAATGGAACGAACCGTGGGCACGCAAATATACACGGAAACCCAACGGTTTGCCTGTCTCCCAAGTGCAGCGGCTGGGTCGACAAATCTTAGAGGCATTGCTGTTTCTGAAAGAGCGCGGCTTCCCACTGCACGGCCATTTGCATAGCGGAAATGTGATTCTACAAAATGGCGCCGCCAGGTAGGTACACTTCACCGAATGAATTAATTGCGCTCACATGGGTACTTTCTCATAACTATGCACATATTTGTATGTATGTACATATGTAACATTGTATGTGGGGCATTCCATACCAAAATGGACGGGGCTCACACTTCATGTGTTTCATTTGTTTCAAATTTTTAGGGTTGATGGACAAACATAAATAATAAATAAATATGAAAGTTGAGCTTGATTCATAAATTTTTAAAAACTTTACTGCACAATCAATATTCTCTATGAAAAGGAAAATGAAAAAAAAAATATTCGTGAAAAATTTTTCACATTCAAACATTTTTAGAAAAAAAAAAAAGTTTTTGAAAATATGCCATCTCAAAAAAAATTAAAGAAATCACAATGGTAGCTCTTTGTATTGCGCAATGATTAAGTATAGAATTACGGGGTGCACTCCACAATAATTTGAATTATGAATTTTTTTACACCGAAGTTGAGTACAAATTTGCCAATTTTTTTTTAATTTTTTTGAGTATGCAGTTTTGTAGGCCATTAAATTTTTAGTAAGTAGTATTGCAAGTTTTAAGCGATTGCAAAACTGGCGTTAATTTTTTTTTTCTTTGAGAACGGTTTTGCGCATTTTCTTTCATAAGAAAAAAGTGCAAAAAGCCGTCAGCATAAAAAATATTAAAAATCTACGCAATTTTACAGTAGCTTATACTAAACTTTAATGGGCTACAAAACTGCATACTCAAAAAAATTCTAACAAAAAATTCAAAAATTTGTAAATTTGTCACTTTACTCAACTTCGGATAAAACAAAAAAATTCATAACTCAAATTATTGTGGAGTGCACCCCGTAATACTATACTTAAATATTGCGCAATACTCATAGCTACCATTGTGATTTTTTTCAATTTTTTTTTAGATGGGATATTTTCAAAAACTAACTTTTTTTATCAAAAAATTTGTACCTGAAAAATTTTTCCAGAAAAAAAATTAAAAAAAAAAAATTTATTTTCATATAGAATTTTGATGTGTGTTGATTTTTTCCTCGCCCCGTTCTATTTGGAAAACTATTAAAGTATTGCGGAATTTTTGCAAAGAAAAATAATTCAAAGTAACAAGGCTGTGAAATATTATTTGTGAAATAAGTACTACAGATTAGTGAGTGTGGAAAATTTACAAACAATAAAATGTACCCGAAACAGTCAGTAAACTTACCCAATAAAATTTTTTTTATAGCATTTAAGCATCTAACTGCTATTTTAAATGTAAGTTCGTTGTATCTTATTTCAAATATTTCTTTGTTCAATTAATAATGACAAAGAACCTTTTTAATTAAGCGTTTTTCTCTTTGACGTGTTCTAATGTGCAGCGTACTGAGAATCCTTTCATCTAATTAATAGTTAGGTTTGATTAGTAGGGCGTGTATGGAATGTTCCTTACATTCACTCGGAGACAGAATTGTCTATTGTGTGAGCCCTCATCAAGCGCGTGTCGAGAGGAAACACGTACCTAAAACCGAGAGAAGAGCTAAGTATTTTCAAGTCATTTTTGTACTGAACCAATTACTATCCCTAACGAAGACGAGGAGATCCAAAAGTTCCACCTTGACTATCTCGCTCAGACTGTAGAAGAAGCGTTAATACAAGTGCTTGAGGCACTTTGACTATATACCTGGAAAGGGATCATTTGACACTTTCTCATCCGAACTACTTCTACAGAGAGTACTTGTTGGTAATAGTCATCGTTAAGGCATTGGCGTTATAGCACAGTGTCCTATGTTGACACCGGTAAGGACTCCTAAAGCAGACCGATTGAGGTCAGTACGTCCTTCATCTATTTCTTACTAAGCCACGGCCATAATAATCTTGTGATCTCACAGTCTTCCGTCATTTGTCGCGGCCACGGCGTATTCATAAATTTTGCTAACGCAATCACTAAACGGTGGTAATACGGAGCAATCCTCTTCTTCTATTGGCATCTCTAAGCCATGTCAGCCGACTAATTCCCTCCCAATATTGCTATGTCCGGGGACTGCAATCGTTCGGCAGACGAAAGGACTGGTTTATTTGTAGGTCCTTCGAGTAGACCAGCTCCGGTTCCTTGTTCCAGCTTTGAACCATCATTGTAGATGGATATATCTCCCTCTCCCGCACCACCTAAGGGCTAAATTTTAGTGGAATATGTGATAAAAATATGAAACAAATCGGATCATAAATACAGGTTTTCCAGATATCTCGACTCCTGCTTTACCTATCGGGTACAATTCTTGTGGAGTTATTCCATTTCATTTAAGTAATACAGTATATTTTGCTTAGCTGCCCAACTTTCTTGTGCACTTAACCGAAAAAAGCACTTAAGCGAATTTTCTTTACATTCTTTAGGCATTGAAATGACAAAAAATGTATGCCATTTAAAAAAATGCCATGTGGAAATGAACTTAATGACTATTTTTTTTAATGTAATGACACGATTATTTTTTAATGCCCAACTTTGTCATTTGTCATTTTTGCCATTTAATGCCTAGTGGAAATCCAACCGGATAAACCGGTTTTACTTTACATATTTTCTGTATAGTAACACTTAGTGTTAGTAAAAAATTATGACCAAAATTACTATAGGAGTATTCTCTGAATCTTTCAATGCCCTTGCACGGTGCATGGTTTGCAAACCTGTCCCATACGAAAACCGGTTTTTACCGTGCAATCTGTGCACCATGCAAGGGCTTTGCAAGATTTAGAGAATACCCCTAATATGTCTGCTATAAATAGATATAGCTTGTATTTTAAAATCAATAAGGCAAAATAAGTCCGAAGCATTTCGAATAAAAAGCAAAATACAGAGAACAATTAGTGAAAAATTCACTTTTAATGTGGTCTACCAATCTTTCCAAGATTAGATCGTTAAAACAACAAAAATATTCAAAATAACCGGTTGAAACCAGTTTTTCATAAACCAAGTGAAACATCCTAACATATACACTCACATATAGTAATTTAAAGTACAAAAGCGCGTATCGTGGTTCTGCAAAAACTCGTAACTGACATTTGTGCCAAAAAAGATATTTGCTCATCGGAAGCTCCCGGCATCAAGCCCTTATCCATTCAAACTTAAATATCGGTACTTAGACATAATAAGGAGGGATGATTAGGGGTAAAAGAGAGAACGGTTTCTAAATAAAACATGTTTTACTTACTCTTATAAAATTTGGGCAATCCTCACATACGCGGTTTTGTACTTTAAACGACGATATGTACGTAAATATTCTAGCATGCATTAGCTCAGTCTAATGTTGACACTCAGTCTAATGTTGACAAGCACCCGGTTACCTAAACATTGGAACACTTCTGCCTTCTAAGTGTGTCATAAAACTAGGTTAAGTTCCGACAACCAAGAAGCAAAAACAAAAACAAAAACAAAAACATAACCAGATGAAAACTACATGTAATTGCATGCATAACTATGAATATGCAATTGAATTTAATTTGTGCTGTTTTTTTATCCATAATCTCTTTTTTGTTTTCCTATGAGCGTTGTAGCAACATTTTACCACTTTGCAATTAAAATAAATTTAAAGCTAAGTAAAAAAAAAAAAAAAATTATCAACCATTGCATATTCATAAAAGCACTGAACACCGTAAATTGGATAACAAGCGGTCGTTTGTCGGTCATAAATGGTTTAGAGGACTCATTTTTTACATTTACTCTGCAGCTATTCAATTAGAGGAGTCAAAGGAAATATCAGGATTTAATAAATATAAAATTAATTGCGATTTTCTCTTTTTGCAACTGTAGGTATTCACTTGTATCATAATACATATTTTCACAATAATAGGCTTGCCTTTGAAGTTTTCAATTTTTGTTGGAAAAATAGGTGAAACAGATTAATTCACTCAAACCAATCTTTTTGCAAAAATCCGGGATCCTTATTGCTGCTTTCAACTCGTCTTGGTCGAGTGAAGAGACCTGAGATTCGAATCGCATTCCTGCCGGCCAGCATCTCTTTTTTCTTTTATTTCTCTTGAAAAAAACAGAGTGCAATGGGTTATACTCGTTCTTCTGGGTATGCAGTTACAGTTGCACGGCTATACTCAATCCCGGCGTCCTCGTTCACGCACTCTGGGTCGCGTGAGCTACCCATGTGCGAGATGCGGTAACCAATCCGAATAGGTCACTCCCACTTATTCGGTTTAAGGTCTCACTGAAGCCTGCAACGTCTGTTAGCCATGAGGTGCAGCTGCAAGCGGACGGCTGTATTTACCCGCTGTAAACAAAACTCGACTTGTTCACTAGAAAATGATTTATCCTCTCTCTCTCTACAACCATGGTAAAGGGTGTTGATATTTTACAAATATAGTTCAAAACTTTACGGAAAGGTTGTTAAAGTACTCCTCTGCAGAAAACTTCACATCAACCTCAAATTTAGGCTTTCAGATAATAGACACATGCGGAGGTAGACGTCATTTAGAAATTACTGCTGATTTGCGCCATCGAAGAGGAAGATAAGAAGCTAGGAGGCACACTGCCGCACTTGCTTGGAGGGCAATGAGGTGGAATTATTCTCTTTCACTTAAGCCTTTGCCAGGCTGCGGCCTAAGCATTTTGCCAGCTCCGAGGTGCTTTCCAGAACTGGAATCTACTGGCTGTCAAACTTCGATCTTGGCAGCACAGTTCACTAAAACTCAGCAGTTAACATGCGTAGTGATATCGGCCATAGAGATATATATAAAAATTAGCCCTATTTGTGGAAACCAGTGTTGGCACTAATCGATTGATTTTTTAATCAATTAGTTAATTCGATTAAATTCAATCTGATTACAGTCAATCATGATTAATTTTAATCTGATTAAACAGTTAATCGTAATCGCGATTAAAAAAATAATAATAATTCTTAATCATTAACTCTTAATTTGATTAAGTAGGTTTGGTGATTAATTAATTTATGCTTGAATTTTCCTGCGCACACAAAGCCAGTTAATCGGGTATGGCTAAGTCGGATTTCCTTATCAATCTAGGAAATTTGGTGTGCATTTTCATTAAGATCTATACCAATATATATTTTAGAAACTATGTTTTAATATCCCTCTGCACATGTGCGCGAAAAAGTATAAAGATAAAAATTGAGATAGAGGAAAACAGAATAACATAAATGCAATTAGAACGAACAGGTATAGAGGTAGGGATCTAAATAGAAAAAAGACAAAAAATATAACCTTAAGCAAAAGCAGATGTATGTATGTATGTATATTGGTTATGAGACATAATAGATGTGGAACGTAAGTTTCACTTCTCCAGTGTGGCCCAGGCGCACTTACTTTTTTTTCAAAATTTAGTGTTTGATGCGTAAGATAGATTATGCGAAACTACATCGATATTTCGTCTTTCCTAAACAATTTCAAAAAATGAAATTGGCACCTTTTCACGTTTAGGTAACGATATGTTTCCCTAGAGGACTCTATGAATGTAGTTATGTACTTATGTTGTATCCATAAGCATTTTATTACACTCGCTTTCTTTTCAAGGTAATCCTTTGAACTTTTTACTTTACCGACAATTAGGCAGATATTTGAAATGCATTGGTGTATTTTTCGTACGAATGTATGTGCACATATATGTGTGTACTTACATATGTATGTACCGCATACGGTTATTTTCGGACTTGTTGATTTGAATGAAAATAAAAAGTATTGCAGAATAAAAATTTCGGTTCGAAAATTGAGCAAAAGTTATACACATTTATACTCGAGTATAATTTAGCTTGCATTCATGGCAATCAGTGTTGCCAGAACTTTTTGGGCCGACCGGCTAGATTGGCAAAAAAAAGCGGCTAAAAACGGCTAAAATGTTTTAGTGAAAATCCATATGCTTTATTTAAATAAATCGCAAGAAACGAAAGACTAATTAACACCATTAATTTATATCGAGTGTATATTCCTCATCATCAAATGAATCACTATTGTATATATCACCTGAATTCATTAATTTTAAGAGATCGTCATCTACAGTAAAATTATGGCAGCATTTTTCTTCACGTTTTAAACCGTATCTTATATATAAAATAGCGTTTAACGTTTTAACACACATTGGATTTCTTTGCTTAGTTTTTTATTATATTCATTGAACTAAATATTCGCTCTACTTCTGCATTACTTATAGGCAAAACAAGAAAACTAAAAACTAGGTTGCAAAGGTCAGCAAAAGGGTTTTCTCCTAGGGCATTTCGAAATTGATAAACTTCGGCCCAAAAATTTACAGTTGAGTCTAAATTACTCCAGGTATGTAACGTTAACCGTTGCTATTGCATCTCTATGGATGTTATTTCGTCGGCGTTATATTTGTGTTTTTGTTGCTGTAGTTGAACGTATACTTTTGGTTTAATTACTCTTAATACATTTCCAACCGAAAAAAGTCAATTTTTTTTAGTGTGGCAATATTTGTAGGGAGGCGTTGGCGTAATTCCTTTATTAAAGTGATAATAAAATAGCGACCATTTTCTCGAATTATTTTCTCGGCTTCGTGGTCAAAAGCGTTTGTGCTTACTTTTGTTTTTAAATATTCTTCAAAACTGTGATAAAACTGAGGAAATGGAGCAAGGTATGGTTCCAACGGGGAGCATATAGGATCAAATGTGTCCGCGCTAATAACCACTAGGGAGCATAGATGCGAAAGTAAAACATTGAGTTCATTAAAAATCTTCATTAGGTCTGCATTATTGCTTTCGAACAACTTGTTTACTTTTTGCACCTGAAAATTAGGCAAATAGTAAAATCGGCTAAAAACGGCTAACTTTTTTTTACAAACCGGCTAACAAATCGGCTGCCGGCTAGATCGAATTTTCTCCGGCTGGTTGCTGTCAAAACCGGCTAAATCTAGCCGGAAAACGGCTAAAATGGCAACGCTGATGGCAATACCGCTGTGCGAATACATATATGCATGCACTTGTATGCATAAAGGACCACTTCAAATGTTGCAGCGCAGCAAAGAAAATGCTTTAGCCCATTTCAATTTCTTTATACACATTTGTGAATTCAATTTACAAGTATGTAATGCAATATATACAAGTGCGTGTATATATGCATGTTTGTGCATACATACATACATATGTGCATTAGGGTGCACCAAACTCCACACAAAATAAAATCGGTGCTGTTTTTCCATCGAAGTTATAAAATGTATTATATTTTAAGGCCTGGCCTTCGAAAAAATATTTCGGAGTAAATTAGGATTAACGTGAGCTAGAACCATTTGAAAATAACTCCAAAGATCCAGTTTTTATAAATGAAATTAAAAATATATAAAATTTCGAAAAAATCTCGCCAGATAATAGAAGATTGTAAGCTTAAAAGGTACGTATGTATAAAAATGTTTAAAAATTTTATGAGCGAAATCAAAATAGTGAGATTTTTGTGGGTATTTTCAAAGCGGTCTAGTTCACGTAAATCATAACATTTTTCCAAAGTATTTTAGCGGAAGTCTTGAAATGTAATAAACTGTATTATCCTGGTGGAAAGCCGCGAAACTGTTTTAGTGAGGCACCCTAATATACATCCTTTGAAAAGCATTGCAAAGGTTATGAAGGCAAAGTTGCTATGTTTTGTCGTTATTTAAAATTTTTATTTCGCTTTCAAAAGACAACTGGACGTATGAGTAGTGCAAGACGTACTTCTGTACATAAATATGTACGTAAGGAAAAACATACTTACGTAAATACTACAATTTGCAAAGCTATATTTTAAATTTAATATGATTAAGAAATATGTATTATTTCTTAAGTAAATTAAATAACTAAATTTTTTATTCCTTTTAGACTATCCGGCCTCGAGAACGGCCTATTGGGCCTTAGTTCCCGCATTAACGCTGTTATGTGGTCGCGTTCAACAACGGAAATCGAAAATGTCGATATCATCTGCTTCGGTCATTTGTTATACGAAATGTGCACCGGTACAGAAATGACCACACCCAAACCGTCCATGCGGGTGCTCGAAATGGAATTGGAGCATTTCCCACAGGTGAGTTTAATAAAAAATACTTATTTATGTATGTAGGTTGCTACGGTTTAGGTAAAAGTATGCCAAAAATTAATTTATCAATACACTTTTACAAATATAAATGAATTAAAGTTTTGAATATATGTATGAATGTACGATACATTAGTCCGTACCACCTTACAGGTTCGCCGTACACCTTTGAGTCTAAAGTATTTTTGCAAGGTAATTTCGTGAACAAAAAATTTGTTTTCGGCCGAACCTCTTCTTCTTCTTCTTCTTTTTTGGCGCTGTAACCGCCTAAGCGATTTTGGCCGAGTTCAGCAAAGCACGCCAGTCGTTTCTCCTCTGTGCCAACTGACGCCAATTGGAAACGCCAAGTGAAGCCAAGTCCTTCTCCACCTGATCTTTCCATCGCAGTGGGGGCCTCCCTCTTCCTCTGCTACCACCAGCGGGTTCCGAGTTGAATACTTTCAGAGCTGGAGCGTCGGTGTCCATTCGAACGACATGACCAAGCCAGCGGAGCCGCTGTATTTTAATTCGCTGCACTATGTCCATATCGTTGTAAAGCTCATACAGCTCATCGTTCCATCGTCTGCGGCACTCGCCGTCGCCAACGCGTAAAGGACCGTAAATCTTCCGCAAAATCTTTCTCTCAAACACCCCAAGAGCCGCCTCATCGGATGTTGTCATTGTCCATGCTTCTGCGCCATATACCAGCACGGGCCGCCGAACCTAGGTCCGCTTTATTACGTTTATCGGTCATACCAGTATTTCTATCAGAATAATCGAAATACTTGCTTTGAAAACTTTACTTTACTGAAATTAGGATGGTAGGTTAATGTGATTTGAACTGAGATTCGGGGGTAGGTATTTACTAGAACGGGGTACTTGAGGTCAATGATAAAAAACAACTTTGAGGTCAAACCGTAAATGCCGAAGATACAATGAAAAATTTTAAAAGCCGACTCCTTCGCCAGAGGGCACTATGGCTGAAATAAGCACTTTCTGCGTTAAAAAATCGGGTTTATTCGATATTCGAAAAATCGAGATTTCAAAAAAACGCCTATAGATATGCAAAAAAAAAAATGGTGGAAACCTGTTTGGAAAAACCGAGTCAATCTCCCTATTTGCAACAAAGACAGATTGTTGTATTTCAACCCGGCCTTGAGCTCAAAAAACTAATATAATCTTCAATTAACGGCCAAATACAAATAAACAATGGAAAAATAAAACATAAAATTTAGAAAATATCGGCAAAAAACGGTTGATTTCAGACTTTTGTTTGAAGTCAAAAAAAATTAAATCATATAAGATTAGCAGTGGCGGATCCAGCGGGGGGTTTTGGGGGTTAAACTACGTGTTAGTCAGTGGCGGACACACGGGGGGTGTGTAGTAGTTTAACCCCCAAAGCCCCCTCCCCCCCTCCCCGCTGGATCCGCCACTAAAGATTAGTATTAATTGGCCAACAAGCGTAGTATTTAAAAATGTTAAATTGATAAATTTTTTAACCGAAATTTCGAAAAGAACTATTATTTTCGATCCGTGAAAGAAAGTAGTTGATTTCAATGAAAGCCCACAAAAATTATTTAGTTATTAGTGCTTTCTTGGCGTAAAGTATAATGTATTTTGGAATGAATTTCCATTTGTTCCTAAAAAATTCAGTTCAGTTTTCGATAAACCATTTTGACTCCAAACCACATTTTACAAGGGACGGCGCAAATTCGTTCTTTATTGCAAAAAAACTTGCAGAACTTTCTTTCTCAAAAATATTGCAGAAAGTTAATCATAATTTCTTGGTGATTTCTTAATAGTTTATTCCATTTAATCACTTTCTCAATGCCTTCCAATCTCTTTTATAGATCTTAGATGTACTTGGCCTAATATTCGAACCGCCCAGCGGTGTGTGTCCCTCCGTCGAGGATTTAGTTTTATGTGATCTCTTCAGAAGCATCGATTTACGTGAATTACGTGGCCCCTGCTTTAATGTAAGTATCCCCAGGTTTAATACTCAGAAATAGAGCAATCAAGTAATAAAGCCTAATGGAATTACTTTCAATTGCATTGCACGACAAATAATATGGCATGCAGACTATCAAGCCAAGTCTCAGCAGATCCACACTAAATTTATTGTATGCTGTAAAGAAACGACAATGTGCATCACTTGGCAGCTCATTCAGCGAAATGAGCTCACCGAGTACACCGCCATCTACACCACGCGACGGTCGACGCGGGTAAGTATTCACGAAAGTCAGCACACACACACACTCACACAAGCATACACAAACCAAGTTGTACATAAATATATAAAACAGCATTAAAAATCGTCCGTTAGACATCAAATTTCATTATTAATATATTATAGAATGAAAATAAAAAAAAAGATTAGGCAACAGAAAATAAAAAAAAATGTCATCTCACGTCATCAATCGCTCATCGCATCTCTCATCTTAGCTCACGCAACCACTTACATACATTCATATTCTTCTGCATTTTTTAGTGTTTCTAACATTTTTAAACGAAAAAAAAACTTTGTAAAATCATTGTTAGTTGTACCCTATTCTCTCATACTTATTTTTGCTCTACTCATCACTTCTCTTTTTTCTAACTTTTTCATTCAATACTTAGTGGTTCATCACTTTCAGTAAAATTCATTTGTGTGAGTGTAGCTATCGCCACCATTTGTATAACTCTTTATCAGCAGCATACGCTTCATCATAAAAGAAAAAATTGCATTATCATTTCAGCATATCCATTTTTGTTTATTTACTGTCAGTCAATGTGTTTTTCCATTATTTTTTTGGTGTTTACGAATTTAATCAGCATACATAAAACTGTGTTGTGGTGTCCCTAGCAAACAAAGTGTCGGCAACAAATGTTGTTTTTTTTTTTGTAAGAGTATATGTGGGTTTCTGGAGAACACGCGCTCGTAATCCTGGTTACCCTTGCTGCCACAGCACTTAATTTAAAAAAAAAGAAAAAAAACTGTATCAACACTGTATGTGTGTTCACAGCAAACACGTTGGTAATCGCTTTCGGCCACGCCAGTTGCGCATTTTAAATTAGGAAGCCAAACTGCAATTTATTTTAGCGGAAGGATAATGTTTTGATTAAATTTGGGTCACGCTGAATATTTATAGAATAATTAATTCAAATAAAAAATTATGATAAGCATAATAAACTTTAGTGAGTATACGCACGGAACATGGACTCCCTTTATAACGTATAGTTAAGCAGTTGAAATAAGTGATTTATTTTTGTAAAGGCCAGTATGCAGCTCTCAAGAAAACGGTCTAGAAAAAATTTGCCGAAATTCACAATAAAATAAAAATTGTTTACCTTGGTCCTTAAATTGCCACACCCTCACACTCTCGCGGATTCTGGCAGAAATATTGTTAAGGAAAGGATATAATAATAAAATCTTCATTTGGTTAATCTAGGTCCTAAAACTTCCAGGCCGCACAGTGTCGCCTAAGTGGACAAAAATCGAAAAATTCGTTGCCTACAATGTCAACGGTTTTGGTATTTTTGTAAAGGTAATTTATCCACTAAGAAGAATTGAATAGAAATTTCCCTATAAAATAAATTATATTCGGCCAGGAAGCCACTAAAGTCGGCAAATTCAATACTAAGAATTTTAAAAGGAGCATAGCCATGCGTAAGGCCTTTCACGGAAGGAAAGGTCAAAAATACATTCTTTGAAATAAAATGTTGGTTTAACGTTTTCCATTTCCATATAGATAATATATAGATAATAGAGAGCTACAGGATTAAAAGTTCTGGAATATAATTAAACACAGGGTGTCCCTGCGGTATTCCAGAAAAACAATTTTTTTAATCAAAATTTCGAAGAATGGTAAATTTTAATGGAATGGATAAAAAATATATGAAAAAATATGCTGTTTTTCATTATTTTATTACATAGTGCGGGTTTTTAGCTTTCTAAAGAATAAATAAAAACCTGCTCATTTTTTGCACTTTTTGAAGTAATGCGTTTTGTGCTGATGCATAAAATCATTTTTTTATTATTTTCAGTGCCATCAGATCTGCACGATTTGTTCTATTTCCAAAAATAAAGTGTGGCATTAAAAAGCTTGACCTGTAGACAATAAATATTTTTTTTTAAGAGTTGCCACCTGTTGAAAAATTAAATCCAAATTTTTTAATGAGTTAAGTGAATTATAAAAAGATTGGTATCAATCGAAATGTGTATGAAAATGGTTTATTTCTTAACTACATGTAGAGGGTTGCCACCTGTAAAAAAAATCAAATTCCATTGGAATTAGGCTATTGAAATAGATAGGTATCACCACATGGGAGTCAGACGAAAGAGGTTTAAGAAGGTTTTGGCTTGCAAATATTACGAAGAGGGTTGCCACCTGTTTGTAAAGTCAAATTTAGTTTAACTAAAATAATAATTGTGTCAAACCAAAGATTTACGACATCGTATTTGTTATTTTATTACAAATACATACATTGTCAATTCATTTTAAATTTCTGGACTTTTAAATTAACTCAGGAATCTTTTTACTCTTCACTTATTTCTTGCTAAATATGTCCTTTGTCTGTTACCCATATTAATATATACATTTCAGTTACCTTATTCCCTTAATTAAAGTGAATTTGATTTTTTAAACATGTGGCAACCCTTCTACGTGTCGTTTAAAAGTAAAGCATTTTCAAAACCATTTCAATTGATACCCAAATTGTAATATCTAGTTTATTTAATAGTAATAATAATAATAGATTGGCGCTTACACATATGTCAGTGTTTGGCCGAGCTTCTCCTCCGATTTGTGGCGTGCGCCTTGATGTTGTCACACAAAGCGGAGGGACCTACAGTTTTACGCCGACTCCGAATGGCGATTGTATTTTTATGAGAAGCTGTTTTTCATGGCATAGTTTATTAAACTTATTAAATAATTTTATTAAAATTTGTAACAAGTGGCAACCCGTTTCAAAAAAATAAAAATTTATTGCACATCTACAGGTCAGGCCCTATTATTTGACACCTCACTTTTGTAAATAGAACGAACTACATACATATATGTACACACCTATGTAAATGCTACAAGAACCCAAATTGGCAACTTCAAACTGCATTTACAGTGAAAGTATGAAAGTTATCCAAAAACAAATTGCATTTTTGAATTAAGCGTCCTCAATTTTACTAAGAGTCGAATTTTCATTTAAATCCGTTCATAATTCTATTTTTGCCCACATTTCATATGGAAGGGAAGCACTGTGCGCCGGGTTTATCACCTAAAGCTAAACTTTTCCCAAACAAACATTACTGTATGAGTATTCTACCGGCATCCGCAATGAAATTTTTCCTTTTTGCAAAAGCACTTTTTTCGACAAAAGCAAATACAGCATTGAAAACAAGTAAAAATTGTATTTCCTTATGTCGCCACTTTGTTTGTTGTTCGACATTTCAACATTCATAACTTTTTTTTAAATATATTTTCTTAACATTTGACTTAAATTCAACTACTAAACACCAATTTAGTTTTGAAAATGTTCAAAAGCGAGCATGTTTAATGTACTCTTATATGTTACTAAGATTTAATAAAAAGTTTTTCATTACTAAATGTTTGTTATGACTAGTCGATTTTGCTTAAAAACTATTAAAACCCCCGAACACTTAGCAATTGTGTAACTACTTAATAATAATTTTTGTATTAAATCATTTAATAAATTTCAATACTTTTTACTAAATCTAACCCCAATCATGCGCAATTATTTATTTATGATTATACATTAGGGTGGTCCTTAAAAATATCAACATCTAAATTTTGCTCTACGTATCAAATAAAGATATCCACAAAAATTGCAAAATTTTTTAATAAATTTTTAGGGGTCTCTATAATGATTTACAAAAAAATTTAATAGCAAAAATTCGACCATTTTTGAGTTAACATATAACAAATTTGGCATATTCATTTTTAAAACTTATTTATAATTTTATTATTTATATATTTTAAGTAGTGACCTCCAAGTATTTTTTTTTTTACTTTTGAAATTTTCGTGGTTGACTTTATTTTGTATTTTTGTATTTGCTATTAAATAAAATATAAACATCAATTACTAAATACTTAATTTTGAGAATTTTTACTTAGCACAGTGGCTCAATAAAGAAATCGGACAATGTCCGCCTTCTCTTTTGAGCCAATATACCATTTTAATTACGTTTTCATACCTTTAATTCTTTGTTGAAGTTTCGTCATATTTTCACATTTTATAATTAATTCGAATACTTATATGTTACGAAAAAATATATACTATATACATACAGTGATCTACCTGCGCCCTATGAAGTCTTTCGTATGTACTAACATTTTTAGCAATGCATACAAATAAACCAAAACCAAAACTACAATAACCTCTACTGCTACTAGTTGTACCACTACTACTAAATACTAAGTACCAATGGATGCAAAAAATTACTAAATTGCCTATTTTGCGGTTTTGTTTATCACAATCAAAAAAAAAAA